GGGTGCAGTTGTGAAGGTTCTGGTCGATGCCACCGGGGCAGTCATCGATGTTGTCACAAGAGCACGGGCTGCCAGTGGGTGGCGGGCACGGCCCATCCTGGGCACATGGCTTGATCCCTGGGGTACAGGGTCAGTCAGGTCCCAAACGCCCACCCAAGAGGGCCGGGTTCTCCCACCACCCAGCCCCCTGCAAGCCCCGCCTTCCTTCCGAAACCAGTAGACCCCATAAGGTCCGCCCACCCTCAGGCCCCGCCCCAGTACGCGCTGCCTGAAGTCCACACCCCTTCCGCAAGCATCCCACCGCCCGTGGCCAAGCCCCTTCAAGCCCCGCCCCGGGGCGTGGCCACTCACTGCACTCGTCCTCATCGCTGCCGTCCGTGCAGTCCGGGTCCCCGTCGCAGCGCCAGGTGAGGGGCACGCAGAAGCCACTGGTGCGGCACTGGAAGCTGCTGGGCGGGCATGAGCCTGCGCTGGGGCCTACGAGATGCGCACCAGTGAGGCCCGAGTCTAGACCCTCCTCCAGTGGTCCCAGGCTGCGACCCCGAGGAGACAGGCCAGGTCCCAGGGCACTGGAATTAGACTGGTGGCCACCCTTGACTGTGGACCTACTACGTGTGGGGCTTGGAGCCGGGCAGTTCACAGCCCCACCGCCAGCCTCATCGGGCAGATTCTACTGCGGTCCACATTCTACAAAGGACACTTGTCATAACCAGATCCTGCCTCCTCCACGTGGCCTGAAGGCCTGGCCCAGCCCTGAGCCATTCCTGGCCCTCACCTCCTTCCGAGTTCTTCCTCTTACTCGGGCCCCTCTGGCCTGGCTTCCTTGCTGCTTCTCCAAGAGGTCTGGCTCATTTCCACCTCAGGGCCTTTGCACCTGCTGCTCCCTGGCCCACATCACCCTTTTCTGCCCTGGCTCTGCACCTGGTGATTTCCTCAGCAGTCCTCAGATCTCAGCTTATTTCCTGGGAGGGGGTCTCATGCCCTCCTCAGAGACCCCTGAAGCTCTCCCTCCCACTTCTAACAGTCGTCCTTAGACTGGTACCTGCAAAGACTGTGTTCTCAGTGGAGGTGAGGGCTGTGACCTGGTGACCGCCAGCCCAGGGCAACGCCTGACAATATGTGGACACAGGGCACACCAGGGTCCAGGCTGAGTCCAGGTGAAATGTGAACCTTCCTGGACCCCGGGGGCACAGAAGGGCCTGGAACCGGGGCCAGCAGCAGGTGGGCACGTGAGCGACAGAGGAAGGAAGTAGCCTTGAGGGTTTCCTCCTGGGGGAAGCAGGGCAGGTGGCAAACACCTGGCCTCACTCCATTCGACCCTGGGCCTCCCGCCCCTTCCAGCTTTACTCACAGGGGCCTGAGCCTCCAAAACCCCGACTCCCCGCAGCCAGCGCCCCCCCCCACCCCCACCCAAGTGTACGTGCGGGCCGCACAGTCCCTGAGCTCAGTGGGGCCCGGAAGAGCTGCAGACAACCTGGAACCGGCTTCCTTCCCTGCCCACGGGGGTCTGGCGGCCCCTGAGCGCGGCTTCCTCCCCAGGCCTGGCCACTCTCCGCCCTGACAACGTCCCACCTCCCTCCCTGACCTGCCCGAGTGTGTGTCCCTCTGGAAAGCGGGCAGCAGAGCAGAGCGGACCTGGCCTCATAGGGCTGTGGGGTTGGACAGGCGTGGGAGCCACCCGTGACCCCTCTGCCACCCTCGGTTTCCTTGCCTGTAAAAGGGGCACGCTAGGAGTCCCCCCCTCAGTGTCGTGAGGAGAGAAGACTGCTTGTGTGTAAAAAGTATGGTAGTTGGTTAACGTGAGTCCTGCCTCCTTGAAGGTACTGGAACATTCGGCCGGAAAAGGCACGGGCTTTGGGGCAAGGCAGGGACCAGATAAGAAGGGAGCCATGGGGGAGCAGGGTGAGGCTGAACCGACGCACACCACGAGGTCACTCCGAGCCGCCCCGCTGCCTCTGGGAGCGTTAGAGAGGGCCATCACGAGGACTGAGGGCGAACGCGTCCGAGGGCCTGGGGTCACCCGGAGGGCGAGAGCCCTTTGGCTCTTTAAGGCCGGGGGAGGAAAGTGCAGAGATTGGGAGCGCGCGGGATGGAGGCCAGGAACCTTGGCCACCTGGGCTCGGGCGCGAGGGCTGGGAGGCGCCGGGTGACCGGCCGTGCACGCTGCGACACGGGACACCCGGCGCCTGCAGCGAGCCTCCCGCCCATGCCGGGCTGAAGGGCGGCGCGGAGGTGACAACGGCGCACGACCGGCGGAGCGGGCGTGCGGTGCGAGCAGGGCAGTGGAAGGCAGGCAGAGCCACGCGGGAGGAGGGTCCCAGGTTGGGGCTGGCGCGTGGCACGCGGCAGAATCCACGCCACGTGCGGGGGAGTGCCCGCGATGCGGCGCAGCCAGTGGCCGGGCGCTGCCGACGCGCGCGGGGACCCGGCGAGGCTGGGCGCGAGGGGTGCGCGCGCGGGCGCCGCGGGGCTCACTCACCTGGGGCCTGGGCCAAGGAGGCGGTTGGGCCCACCGTCGGGGCGGCGTCCAGGCCCAGCCCGAAGCCGAGCAGCAGGCGCAGCGCCAGGCCCAGGGCTACCGAGCCGCGCGCTCCGCCCCGCGCCATCCGCCGCTCGTCGCACCGCCCCCGCCGCCGCCGCGCGGGCCCCGCTCTTATCCTCGCGCACGCGCACGCGCAGCCCGGGGGGCGGGGCTCGCGGCGCCCCCTGCTACGACTACCGTAAAGATCCGACGACGAGGGGCACCCGGATTTGAGGCTCTTCCCCACTTTTCCCAGGGACAACTTACAGCGAAAGGTATGGGGTCCGTTTGAAGTTAGAAGCTTCTGGGGATAAATAGGAACTTGTCAGCGGCTACTTACAATATTTAACGTTCCCCGCGCATCCTGGAGCAAAAGTCGCTGCCTAATGACCCTGTTTAATACGGCAGCCACGCCCCGCAGGCGTGCCCCCTGCCTTGGGCTCCTCCTGCTCCTCCTGTGCACCCGACAGATTAGACATTTACTTATTTTGGTTTATTGTCTGATTCCCCCCGAGAATATCAGCTCCACTAGGGCAGAAATGCTGCGTGGCTTGTTGTATCCCCAGTGCCGAGAACAGCAGTGCCACATAGTAGACTCTTGAAAGATTCGGTGAATGAAATGAAAGAATCGTCTGGTTCCTGGCTTCCACGCTGGGGCCGCTGTCCCTCCCAGCGGGATGCGCTCACCCTCGCTCGCGGCCTCGTTTAGTCCTCATGGACCCCTCGTAGGGAGGTGGGTATTCTTCCTTACTTCGGCAACAAGATATGGGCGAGGGGAGTCCGTGGGTTTTCCCTTCTCTCGCTCACCCAATAAGCACGTAAAATACAAACCTTCTGCAGGCTTTCTAGCCAATCTGGCTGCAGTGTTTTCTTCTTGAAAATAAATATCTTATCTACGGCTCTGCCTTCTGAAGAAGCAGCGCGCCCAACTGCCAGCCAGGACCCCAGACAAGTCACTGTCCCTCGGCGTTAAGACACGTGCGCAGGTGTTTACCACCCCCCTCCCCCGTTTTCCGTGAAGCGACACTAAAGCGGCCAGATTTTCACAGAAGGGGTTCCATTTGCAGGTTGATGGCATGCTTACTATTTGAAAGTGTGGGAAGTTTTGGCTGCTTTTGGAGCATATATTCATATATTTTTCAGTAATGATCTCTCCTCTTCCCAGGGGAAATGAGGTAAGCCTCAAAGGTGCACAAGAGCAGAGGCAGATGGACAGGCTGGCAAATATGCCTGCCGGGGCAGGCGGGAGCATGCCGCTGGCGTGGCCCCCAGCTTGGCGAGGGAGGCATCGGGTGGGGGGGTGAGAGCTGAAGCCGCCGTGGACTTGGAGCAATTGAGCGCAGACTCATGAGCCGCTGGGTTCCGGGCCAGCTCTCAGCGTGTCCTCAGCCTCAGGTCTTCTGTGGAGGGGGTGTGACAACAGCGCTGACCTTACAGGACAGCTCCAGTCAGGAGCTGGGACGGTGGGTAGAAAGCATTCAGAAGGTGCCTGGTGTCAGACCTCTCCCCTACTCCACTCCTGCGCCAAACTCCAAGTCTGGCTCATAAAACTTTATTGAGAAACCTGCACACCTCGCCTGTGGCCTCCGAAGCTCTCCGGGCTGGCCCTCTGTGGCCTCTGCACACCCTGCCCAGCCATCCTCTCCCTCCTGCCGGGGACACGAGGGCAGGGCAGTCTCAACAGGCTCCGGGCACACAGCGGATGCTCTTCGCCTACTGAAGGGTGGCAGGCTTCTTCCAAGGGGCAGCCATGCGGCTCCCCATTGCTCCTACAGCCAGACTCGGGCCTCTTGCTGTTCCACTTTTGCTCTCCTCATTCCTCCACAGGGACCAGGGTCCTCACTCCCCTGCCAGGTCCCTGGCTCGGGGAGGCCTTTCCTGACCTGCCCTAGGAGAGCCTTCCCGGCTGAGCTGCAGGGCAGCCAGGATCAGGCGGTGGTCACAGTGGGAGGCTGCTGGCCAATGTCCACCTGAGTCACGGCTCGGGGAGCTCTTGAGATCCAGAGGGTAAGTGAGCAGTTTGTGTTCAGCCCTGCTGTCCTTCATGGTCAGGGCTCACAAACACCCAGAGGTCCTGGAACCCACCCCACTACTCTCAGGCCCTCGGGGAAGGGACAGTGACATCTCTGCACCCAGTGACAGCATGTCACCTGGAGCTCCAGAACCACTACCCCTCCCCCACCCCTAGACTACTGCTGGAGTTAGAAGATTCTGCCCCCACTTCACCCAGATCCAGGTAAGCCGGTGTCGCTTCAAAAGCAAAAATGGGGGGGCCGGCCCGGTTGCATAGTGGTTAAGATAGCGTGCTCTGTTTCAGCGGCCTGGGGTTCGCAGGTTTGGATCCTGGGCACGGACCTACACACCGCTCAACAAGCCATGCTGTGGTGGCATCCGACATACAAAATAGAGGAAGACTGGCACAGGTGTTAGCTCAGGACCAATCTTCCTCACCCAGGAAAAAAAAAAGTACAACCAGAAGTGATACTGCAGCTCGCTATAATTATCATAAATTAGGTGACATTCTCCCCGGAGGGAATCCAAGGAGGGGAAGCACCCAGGTGGAGCCGAGGGCCCAGCCAGGTGCCCCAGGGCACAGTGTCACAGGTAAGGCTGGTCCTGGGACAGCTCCCACCTCTTTATGGGAGGAGCCGGCGTCACCGCCTTCTTCTCAGGGGCTGCCACAGCCGAGCTGGAGGAGAAAAGAGACCTTAGTTAGGGCCAGGTTTCCAAAGAACAGGGTGGAAACATCTGAGGGACCCCACAGCTGCCCCTGGTAGGTACACGCCCGCTGAGACTGTGGATCTGGAAGCCAGGGCAGGGGGGGTTCAGAATGCCCAAACCCCTCCAATGGGGTCCCCCAAAGGGTCAGCTGCTTCTTGCTGGGAGCTGGCCAGCCCCCTTTCTGCCCTGAGCCCCGTGAACCCCCTGTCAGCCCACCCTGGCTCTCGGGCCCAGAGTGGACCAGCACCCGGCTCCTGCTGCCTCAGAACAGGATGCTGGCGAAGGGCCACACCATCAGGCACCGTGTGTCCCCTGCTCCACGGCGGGCACTGCATGCAGGCACAGCGTGGGCAGACCAGGCCCCGCCTTGTCTCTTGGGGCTGAGAGTCAACGTGCAATTGAAAAAGACACCACCTGGCCCAGAGGGGGCCTGAGGGGAGCCCCAGGGAGACACTGTGCCAGCAAATCCAAGGCAAGTGCCCCCCACCTGAGCCCCTGGGGCCTAGAGCTGGAGAGCCCTGCACACAAGCCAGAAAGGAGAGGAGGCAGGCGGGAGCTCCCGTCCTGCAGGAGGCCCCCGGTGCCCCTGACTCTCCCAGGAGCCTGAGGGAGCTGGAAGGGGCAGAAGGCAGCCTCCCCAGAAATGCAGAGGTCTCTGGAGCAGGGGAGGGGCTGTGGGGGCGCTGGCCACAGCCCGGGGCTGGACTCCAGGGAATCTGAAGCCCACGACACCAAGTGCTCAGAGGTCCAGCTGCACAGCACGTGCCTGGCCTCAGCACCCGAGAGATGGCATCACACTGCAAGCCCACCGCCCCCACCTGACAGATAAGGAAACCAAGGCTCAGGAAGGCTCAAAGTCTGGCCCAAGACGGCATGGTGAATCGGCTGCAGATCCCAGACACCACTGGGGTCTGGGCAAAATGGTGTGAAATCCCACTTCTGCTCTCCACTGGCTGTGTGACCCAGGCAAGTCACTTGGTCTCTCTGTGCCTCGATTTCTTCTTTGGCAACAGCAGCCATCACTGCCTAACTTGTGAAGTTATTAGATGACAGACATGCCACGGACTCTAATCTAAGAGCTTCCAAATATTAGTGATGAGGATTAATCCTCATAACAACTCCCCTGTGGGCTGAATGTCTGTGTCCTCTCAAAATCCATCTGCTGAAACCCTGTGCCCCAAGGCGATGGGGTTAGGAGCTGGGGCCTCTGGGAGGCGATGAGGTCATGAGGGGGGAGCCCTTGGGAATGGGATCAGCGCCCTTATAAAGGGGGCCTCCGAGAGCTCCCTGTCCCTTCCACCATGTAAGCACACAGTGAGAAGGTGCCAGACATTGAATCTGCAGGTGCCCTTTTTTTTTTTTTTTTTGAGGAAGATTAGCCCTGAGCTAACTGCTGCCAATCCTCCTCTTTTTGCTGAGGAAGCCTGGCCCTGGACTAACATGCGTGCCCGTCTTCCTCTACTTTATATGTGGGATGCCTGCCACAGCATGGCTTATTGCCAAGTGGTGCTAACGCAGCACCTGGGACCCCAACCGGCGAACCCCGGGCCGCTGGAGCGGAACGTACGCACTTAACCGATGCGCCACTGGGCCGGCCCCTGCAGGTGCCTTGATCTTGGACTTCCCAGCCTCCAAATCTGTGAGAAATAAGTTCCGGTTGTTTATGAGCCACCGGTCTGTGGTTCTGTCACAGCGGAACTCTCTAAAGGAGAAACTACTATTGTTCCCATTTGATTAAAAGAAGGCAGCTGAGGCCAGGGGCCAACCTGCCTCTTGAGGGGCCTGAGGTTATTGCAGTTCTCTAAGAATACAAAATTAGGGCCCAGCCTGGTGGCACAACACTTAAGTTCGCACATTGTGCCTCGGCGGCCCGGGGTTCGCCAGTGTGGATCCCGGGTGCGGACAGGGCACCGCTTGGCAAGCCATGCTGTGGCAGGCGTCCCACATATAAAGTAGAGGAAGATGGGCATGGATGTGAGCTCAGGGCCAGTCTTCCTCAGCAAAAAGAGGAGGATTGGCAGCAGATGTTAGCTCAGGGCTAATCTTCCTCAAAAAAAAAACCAAAAAGACCAAAAATCATAAAAACAACCAGGCCTGGGCTTGTCCTAGGGCCCTGGAAGGGACCCTGGAGCTTTGTCTGCTTTGCAGCAAACCCACCACTGGCTGACGCCCTAACCCCAGCCCCGGGCTGGCTGGAGATTGAATGAGCCCGTGCACCAACGGCCCCCGCAGCACTGTTGCTGATGCAGCTGATGCCCAATAAACGGGACCTGGAAAAGCACCAGCAGGAGACAGGCTGGTCGCAGGGCTGTGGTGGGGTCCTCACCTCTCTGCTGGCTTGCCTGACGCCAGCACCTTCTGTGAGGACATGACGATGGAGGGTGGCACGGCTTCCCGGCGGCCATCTCGAGTGCAGTAGTAATTGTGGGAGAGCTTGTGGCTGGGGCCCACAGGCAGCTTGGGAGCAGGCTGAGTTCTAAGGAAAAAGAAAAGTGGCCTTGAAGCAAACCAACAGCCGGCTGGGCTGGCACGGGCCCAGCACCTCAGTCACAAGACTCGGGGTCGGCAGCCCTGGGCCCAGGCTGCAGGCCAGGGGTTGCCCTTGGGACACGGTCATGGATGTATAACTGGGGAGGGTGTGGGGCCCAGAAGCAGGTGGCAGCTCCTGCTCTGGATGTGAAGGTGCGGGAAGGCAAGGCCTGGGTCTGCCCCACCGCAAGTCCCCCAGCTGCCCCCAATGTGGTGGGTGTGGAGGACCTTCTGGCTGGGCACCCAGGCCTGTTCCCACCCCCCACAGCCCAGAGCTTGGCTGCTGGCCTCCCTTCCACCTGCAGGTGCTCAGGAAATGAAGAGGCTGGGGGCTGAGGCTCTGCCCACCCCCTAGACACTGGTGGGTGGGAGTCCCAGACTTAGCTCATTCTGAGGGGCTTTGTCCCCAAAAGCCAGGCTGCAGGACCCCAGCATGCCCTGTTATCTCAGGAACTCTCTGGAGTAGCCTGCTGGGATCAAAGCTTCTTACTCAAAGAGGCTCTTGTCCTCTGAGCCTCCCAGGCCTCTGCATTTCCTGCCAGCTCCTGGTTGCAGCAGCCAGGGTGGGGGTGCACAGAGCCGTGTCCGGCTTGGGCTAAACCCGGGGGTGCATCTACAAAGAGGCCTGAGAAGGAAATGTTAACCTCAAAACAAAAGAGGAGCTTCCCTGGAAAACACAGCAAAGAGGGAGGGCAGAAAAGACAGGAAAAAGTCATTAACAGATCAGGTTTTCAATCAACTTTTTTTTTTCTTTATTCTTTTGTTTTTGGTGAGGAAGATTGGCCCTGAGCTAACATCTGTTGCCAATCTTCCTCTTTTTGCTTGAGGAAGATTGTCACTGAGCCAACATCTGAGCCAATTTTCCTCTATTTTGTATGTGGGATGCTGCCACAGCATGGCTTGAGGAATGTGTGGCGGTCCACGCCTGGGATCCGAACCAGCGAACCCCAGGCCACTGAAGTGGAGTGCACCAACTTAACCACTATGCCATCAGGCCGGCCCCTCAACCATGTTTTTAAATAACTTTTTAGTCTGGTAACCGTCTTGCCAGGATTTCAGTTTTTCTTTAAACAAAGTGATCGTCATTGTATAAAAAGATGAGAAATAAGATAAAAATAAAGTTTCAAAATTTAACATTAAAAGTAACATCCCGTGTGAAAGTCAGAATCTGCTTAAGCCCTGGAGTGCAGAGACGACCCTCTGAAGACCAGGCCAAAACTTGTTACAACCTAGCACAGGTCAAAAGAACCAGCGCCCGACAGAAACGCCCAGATGAACCACTAGGGGGCGCCGTTAAAGGTGAAAATTTCAGAAAATTGGTTCCTCCACTGGCCCCGCAACTAGCCGGCATGGAAAAGGCATTTGAAACTTTTGATATTTGGAATCAGTGCAACATGTAGGCATTCACGCGAATGTGCCTATTTTAACGCGATTTTTCCTCCTTTCAGGCTGACCCTCCGTAGCTGCCTCACCTCTGCCTGGCCCTCCCACCTGTGTGGACATCCACCCCGTCACCTCCCTGTGTTCCAGCCACCCTGCTCTCCTTCCCATTTCTGGCTTTTTGGGGACGCAAACCTGGGCGCTTTCTGCCCAGAATGTCTTTTCAATAATTATCCTTTGCCTCCTTCTCCTCATTCAGGAGACTCAAATGTCAATCTCTGAAAAAGAAGACCTTTCCTGACCATGTGACCTGAGGGAGCCACCCTCAGCTACTCTCATTCATTCTGTTTTGTCTTCGCAGCATTCCAGAACCACCTTTTTTTTTTTTACCTGCTGTATTTAATTCCCGACTATGTTTCTCTCTCCCTAGGACCTGAGCTCCATGCAAGGAGTGAGGATAACAACTTTTCTTGTTCCCGCTGGTGTCCCCAAGGCTGAGGACATGGCAGGGGCTTGTAAATATCAACTCATTTTTGGACGTCAGTGAGTTTGAAATCACGACACTTCTAGGTTCAAACCCCAGCTGTCCCTTTCTAGCTTCTGAGCGACTTTAAGCCAATGACTGAGTCCCTCCGAGCCTCCACGTTTTTCCAGTGTGGCTTGGGGCCACCCTGAGGGCCGCACATCTGCACACGATTCCCACCCAGAATTCACGCCCAGCCTGGCTGTTGCACGAGCAGCCGTCTCCGAGAGAGTCCAGCAAGGTTGAAGGCAAACCTCCGCCTCCAGACCTGCCACGGGGCTGGAGGCAGGATCCCGGCCCAGCGCTCCAGGGGTCTAAAGGAACGCGGATTTTGTTTTTGCTGGAGGGAGGACAGGACAGGGCCGGAGTCCGGGCAGCGAGCGGGACGGGCTCACCGCTTGGAGATCTCCTGGTAGCGCAGCTGCAGCTTCGCCTGCAAGTTTTGCTGTGGGAGGAGGAGAGGAAGGCGGTCAGCCAGCAGGGCAGCCCAGGAGAGGAGGGGGCGAGAGAACAGGGGCAGCCCGGGGTGGACAAGGGAAGGGAAGGCCAGCGATGGGCAAGCGGGGCAGGGAGATGGGCAACCGGGGCAGGAACACGGGCCAGTGTGGACAGGGAGATGGGGCTGTAAAGGAAAGCCGGGGACCCGGGCCACAAGTCTAAGAAGGCCCGGCAGTAGGGACACCTCAGGCCTGAGTGGGTCCCCGACCAAGGGAAGGTCAAGGGCTGGGGTGGAGGTGGGTGTGTCCCAGGCCGAAGGGGTCACCATTGGGGGTCCCGGGCTGAGCGAGGGGTCCGGCCTCGGGGGATCTCGGCACTAGGGCCCTCGGGCCCAGGGGAGCAGGAGGGAGGTGAGGAGCGGGCGGGAGCGGGTCCGGGGCGCATGGAGCCCGCAGCCCCCCAGGGCGGCCCCTCCCGCCCCGCGCACCCCGGATGCCCAGTTCCGCAGCCGCTGGATGAAGCGGGTAGCGGACGCCATCTTCCGTCCGCGCTGAAGGGCGCCAGTGACGTCTCCGCCGCGGGGGTTGCTGGGAAGGGCGCGGCTGGTCTCGCGAGAGGTTTAGTGGGCGGGGCTAGGACGCAGTATAAAAGCTCTCCCCGAAGCACGTGACTCCTCTCCTCCCGACCGCCGCCGCGCCGCCATCATGGACACGAGTCGTGTGCAGCCCATCAAACTGGCCAGGGTGAGGCGAGGGCTCGGACTTGGGGGCCGGGGTGAGGAAAGAGAGGTTCGGGGGACCGGGCAGGCCTGGTCTGACCCCAGCTTGTCTCCGCCAGGTCACCAAGGTGCTGGGCAGGACCGGCTCGCAGGGACAGTGCACGCAGGTGAGCGTCTGGGGGCGCTCCGGGGTCTGAGCCCCTAAGGATGATTCCCTTCGTGCTCCAGGCGCTGCCGGCTGGAATCTCGGAACGGACGTCCCTCTTATCCCCGGGCTCCCGGAGGGTCCGAGGTCCTGCCGACCGGGTCTGAGCCCCGGCGTCCCTCCTCGTGCCTTAGCCCGCCCCCACGACCACTGTGTGGCTCCACCTCCTTCCGATTGCGCTCCGGTCTCCAACGGGCCCAGGGCTGCAGTTGTCCCCTCACCCCCGGTGGCTGCTTCTGGCGCTGGAGAGCTTTGCTCTCTCTGTCTCAGCTTTCTTCAGCTTCTCTCTCGGCCGGCCCCGACACGTCCCCTGGGAATCCAAGTGCGCTACCAGTTCGTGGCCGGCCCTGACTCCTTCTCACCCCGTAGGTGCGCGTGGAATTTATGGACGACACGAGCCGCTCCATCATCCGCAACGTGAAAGGCCCCGTGCGCGAGGGCGACGTGCTCACCCTGTTGGAGTCAGAGCGAGAGGCCCGGAGGCTGCGCTGAACAAGCGGTTGGTGCGTGCAGGACTGGAGTGGCAAAGAGCAGGCCCCTGTGAGACGCTTGCTTGGTGCAAGGGAGGCTTAGCCAAGCCCACGGGGCTGGGGGCGAGTAGAAAGGGTCTGCTGAGTTTGGCAAGACAACGGAGCTTGCCGTTTCCGGGGAGATGGGCAAGGGGAGATGTCACCATCTCATGCTTGGGTCTATTTACAGGGTCCTAGATGGAACCGGAGTTCTACCGCTTGGCCCACGGGGATGACCTACGACCGTTAATAAAGTGCCGATATTGTATGTATACTCGGGTTTTTGTCTGGGTTGTCACTAGGCTTGTAAAATCTTCCATTGGGGTCTTTCAGGGGTTACTGGCCCTTGATGCTCTGGAAACCTGGGGTGGGTCTTACCCAACAGGGCACCTTTTTTTGAGGTAGGGGAATCTCGTGTTGATGGGTGACCCCCAAACAAGACACAAGCTGAGCGGGGAATGCTTTATTAGGGAAGGAGGTTGGGGGAGTGGGTGGCCTAGGGGCTCTGTCATTCCTCAGCCCCTGCCCCACCCTGCTGGTCCACGCTGGCCCCTGCTGTGCCTCAGAAGCCCAGGTGGGGGAGCGAAAGGTCTCTCCCCGCTTTCTGGTCCAGTGTGCCAGGTAGCTCACTGAGGCTGGGGGTCCTCTCCATTGTCACTGCCGCCTCCTTCACTAGGCTCGGCCGCAGGGGAGTCAGGTGCCGGCTGGTGAGAGAGAGGTGGGGGGTAGTCATGTCACAGATCACAGTCTCCGTGGGTTTCAGCCCCCTCAGACCTGGGGGTGTTTCTCATAGTGGGGGTCTTGCTTCCCTGCACCGTGGCTGTGCCTGAGGAGGAGCCCACTCCCTACTCAGAGCTAGGCTGCCTGGGCGTGACTCCCACCTCTGCCCCGTCCCACCTGGCAGAGGCGCTTGAGCTCCACGCCGCCCGCCCTGTCTCTGCAGGAGAGCGCAGGACAGACACGCTGAGCGGATGGGTGAGCATGGTTAGGAGTGTGCTGAGAGCAGCCTGGCGCTCGGCTCTTGAATGGAAGCCTCCTCACCTGGTGGGCAGCCTGAGCCCACTGCTCCCAGCCGGCCCTCCCTCTGCAGCTGGCAGGCTCGGCCAGTCTGCCCTCCTGAAGCTCTGGCTTGCGGGGAGCCCGTGTCCTCCTCCCCGCTCCCTGCCCAACTCCAAAGGGGCCCTGTTCCTTTGCTTGGAGACCCCTGGGGACAGGAACAGGAGTCCCCTCACTGGAGGGTCTGAGCGAGGTCTCACACCTCTACTCTGATCCTACCCACTTCTCCTCTGGAGGCCTCAGGCCCATGGCCTCTAAGGCGGGCATGTGTCTACCTCAGGGATGACCTGCAGGTTGAACGTCAAATTCTAGCCCCACAGGAGACTTCAGACCCAGGTTCCCCACCACCAGTGCTCCTCCCGGGGGCACACGTGGTGTCCTCCCCAGCCCCAGGTGTGCAGCCCTGCACTCACCAGGGGACCAGCCTGGCCCGAGCTCAGGTGGGTGTGCAGCAGAGCGGCAACCTCGTCCTGCTCGGCCTCCAGGGCCATGGCCAGGGCACTGGTGCCCTCCTGAGAAACAAGGAGGACAGTCGGGTCCCTGAACCAAGCACAGGTGCCCCGCCAACCCCCTCCCCCAGCAGCCCCACAGTGGCTCACATTGTCCAGGAGGGCAGGGTCGCAGCCTGGCTGGGCCAGCAGCAACTGGACCATGTCCAGGCGCCCATATTCGCTGGCGCACATCAGCGCTGTGGCCCCGTCTGCATCCTGTGCGTTCACGTCTGCCCCACACGCCAGCAGGGCCGCCACCATGTCCTGGCGGCCATGGCTGATGGCGAGCATGAGGGCCGTCTGCCCCGTCTGAGGAGTTGGGGAGAAGGGGACAGGGCTGAGGTGGGCTCAGGGAAGGGAGGTCAGAGATGGGTGGGCTCCCGAAGTGGAAGTGACCCCTGGACTCAAAGCCAGGGAGGGGGTGTGCACACACACCTGGCTAGCCTTGGCATTGACGTTGCCCATGTGGAAGAGTCTCTGGACCACAGCCATGTCCTCCTCTTCCCTCCCCACGGAGGTGAGCGCAGCCAGCATGAGAGCCGAGTAGCCGGCTCGGTTCTGGCGGTCAACGTCACAGACCCCTGGGAGAGAAGGGGGTCAGTCCACCCAGAAGCCAACACCCCCAACCTGGTCTGCTCACTTCTCCCCAAGCCTCGGGTTGAGTAGCCATGTAAGAGGAGTGGTCACCCTGGGTCATGATTTACTGTCTCCTCTGCCTGCAAGGCACTCTTCCCAGTGGACCTGACCTTCAGGTTCTGCTCAGATCTCCCTTGGTGAAGCCTTCCCTCACCTCCCTGCTTCACACTGGTTTGGGGACTTGGTCTTGTTCGCTGCTGTACCCCCAGTACCTAGAACAATACCTAGCACGTAAGTCCTCAGTAAATGTTTGTTGATTGAATAAATGACGTTTCTGTCTTCATACCTCCTACCCACCAAGCCACCAACTTTGCTCCCCTAGATAACTGTGCCAGCTGGGCCACCCTGGTGTCACAATCCACTCCAGGTTCCATGCAGCAGATCAAAAGAAATCTGGCCAGTCATCTATTTAAAACCATGTGTCTCCTCATCGCTCCCAGAGTACAGGCCGTTATCCACATGGTCTCTGAGGCTCTCTGTTGTCTAACTCCTGTTCCTTCTGGAATCGTATCACCCCAAGCCTGTGTTAGATTGAATTGTGTCCCCAAAAAAGATACGTTGGAGTCCCAACCCTTAGCGAATGTGACCTTAATTGGAAATAGGGTCTTTGGAAATGTAAGGAGGGTAGGATGAGGTCATCACGGCAGGCCCTAATCCCATAGGACGGGTGTCCTTAGAAGACGAGGCACAGAGACGACCAGAACACCACGTGATGACGAAGGCAGAGAAGAGCTGAGTGCCCGTCAACCACCAGGGACGGCGCGGGGTCGGTGGCCCCGCCAGGAGCTGGGAGAAAGGCATGCGCAGACCCTCCGTCTGAGGCCCAAGAAGGAGCCAGCCCCGCCAACACCGTGATTTCGGCCTCGCGGCCTCCAGAAGGGCCAGAAGAGGAACTTCTGTTCTCAGCTGCCCACACTGCCAGGCTGCCTTACAGCTGCCAGGAAACGGACGCAGGCTGGGGACTGCTGGCCGTCCTTCAGGACGGGGCACAGCCTCAGCTCGCTTTCCTCTGGGATCAGTTCTCTCGCATCCTGGCCCTCCCTCACGGCCCCTGCCTGTGTGCAGACCGCATTCACTCGACTGTTGAATGCCAGGTCCCCCACCATTGTGAAGTCATTTTGTGTTTTTACTTAATAATTGTCCATCTCCACTCCCCCTCTCCCCCCGCGCATGCACGCACGGCCATCCGTGAAAGCCCACACATTCGCTCAACAAACACTTGAGTGTCTACTGTGTGCCATGCTGGGGTCTGCCAGGCAAGTCTGGTGAGCTGAGGGAGGGACAAATGAAAGTAGGTCATGACAGGCCAGGGGGCGAGCAAGGAGGCAAGGGGGGGGGGGCAGCGAGATGGAGTGGGAGCAGTGGATGACGGTCCCGTAAGGTCCAAGGGCAACGGGAGACAGGGAGTTGAGACGTTGGGAGGTGAGAGTTGAGAAGGCAGGTGCTAGGAAGTGAGAGTATGGAGGGGACATGGTTATGGCGCCATCATGGTATTGGGGTGACCTAAGTGTAAGGCTGATGGAGGGCAGAGGTCGAGGTGAAGGGGGCGACGCAGGTCGAGGAACTGAGAAGCTCTCCAACTGGAGGGGTCGTGATGAGGATGCTGGAGCTGGTGAGCATTAGGCTGGAGAGGAGAGCCGGCCAAGAGCTCAAATGCAAGAAACGAGGGAAGCATGCCTCGAGGCCAGAGCGAGAAGCCAGAAGAAGGGGCGGAGAGGGCAGCAGTCTGATCAGTAAGAGGCTCCAAGGTGGGGTTGAGGGAGGAGAGGAAAAGGTCTGGAAGTAGAGATACAGAGCAAGGAGGGGACACAGCCACATCCAGGCCCTGCGTTCCAGGAAGATAAAAGAAGAAACAGCCCGGGGCGGGGGCGGCCAGGTCGACATGGCAGCACACAGGTAGGGGCAGAGAGGATGTCGAGGTGAGAACCAGAAGGCCCAGGGCAAGGTCTGGGAAGTTGAAGCCAACTGGGGGTTTGAACACGGAATAACCGGACCTGTCACAGCCCCGGTCTGCAGCCCCTTTAAGGCAGGAGACGCCCAGGAACCCTTTCAAACTGGTGCATTGTCCCCTCTCCCAAACCCCAGCTCCCTGTCCAGCCCAGAGCTGCTGTCCGCATCCCCAAGTCACCAAGACCTGCAGGGATGGGTGGAACCGTGTGTTTGGGGGGAGGGGGAGCGGGGACGGACGGGACACACAACAGTGGGACCTGAAGAGGGCTCTTGGCGGGCAGTCGGTTTGTCCACTGGCCCCTCTGCTCTGAGTCCCATGGGGAAAGCAGCCGTATGTGGGCGGCCCACCCCTGGCACTGCAGTGGTACCTAGTGGGCCCTCAGTGCATGTCTGTGCGCTCAGCAACACCTGGGTGTGTGCATCTCTGCTCCAGAACGGGGAAAGTGGAGACGGGACGCGCAAGCAGGAGGCAAGTGACAGAAATGCGTGAAATGGAGCTGATGCAGAACTGGGGGTGAAGGACAGGATGCAGCCCCCCAGCGGGGGAGGGTAGTCAGAGTCCTGATCAATGAGCACCTCCCCCAAGGCTGGAGAGGTGAGCAGCTGGACACTGCGGCCAGGAAGGAGGTGAGCGCCAGGGCTGAAGATCCACGGACAGGAGGCATGGTGAGCATCGACTGACCTCCTACCACGTGCCTGCCACTGTTCTACACGTGTCAGCTGCCCCAGGAGGGAGGCATTGCACCCCACTTCCCATATGAGGAAGCTAAGGCTGGTGGGAGGCCCCTCGATGCAGTCTACCTAATCCCCAAGCCAGGTATTCCCACCCCCTGCAAAATGAGAGGCGGCTCAGGACAGAGCTCAAAAGGCCCTTGGCGACCCATCCAGGAGGGACCCTGTAACCCCGGAGGAAGGCGCTGACCGGTATCCAGCAGCAAGCTCGAGATGGCCAGGTTCCCATGGGACACGCTGTAGTGCAGGGCGGTGTTCCCGTTGCCATCCGCCAGGTTCACCACGTGCGCCAGCAGCTCAGGTCCCAGGCGCGCCACCGCGCCCAGCACCCCGGCCACGGGCTCCGCCTGAGAGCGCCGCTGGCTCGACACTCGAAACCACTCCTGGGCCACCAGGCGCGCCGCGCCCT